CACATGTCATTATTAACTTTTTGACTTTTATTGCCCAAATTCACACACGAGAAAGTTTCAAACAATATTAAAAAAAATCGATTGTTATCAATACTTTATGCAATAAATAAGTAATCGAAAAATTCTGACCAATCTATTCATGGAATGTTGAACTACTGAAACACTTTTTATTGGCTGAGATCGATAGTTACTGTTTCTTCAATGGTAAGTTATATGTAGATATCTGATTTGACAGCTGGCAGTTTGTCTGTTGTAACGAAATAAACGCAAGATTATCAATAAAATTGTAAGAGAAGTGAACAGAAATGCCAAAAATTGGTAAGTAATGTAGTTACCGTTGTATTTCTGTTGATAAAGCGAAAGTTAATTTCAGTCGATATTTCACTAAAGGTCAATCTTATTGATTCTGAGTTTTGTTGGTGTCATCACAAATAACAAAGAAAACATGCAGATTAAGTAAAATGTAAATGCTCCATGTATTAATGAAGAAACACTCCGTTATCGTTTGTTAGGAGTTGGTCAGCAATGTAAGACTGCATTATAAACAAAGGATCAGCAAACCTATAGAATTAAATACCAGCAGTGTAGCACAGGTATATATAAATGTTCAACACATTTTGTACTGTGTTATATTAACCAATGAGAAGGCAGTAACAGTCCTATATATATATATATATATANCAGGCGGATAAAATATTATTATATAGTTCTATATATATAGATAGATAGATAAGTAGCACAGGTATTTATACATGTTTAACAACTCTATCGAAAGGTGTTGATTCAGTCGTGTGGTTACTTCGTCTTGAAATGGTTCAAAATTTGTCTGGAAAAACAAAAACTGGCGCAATCCAATACTTTTTTTTATATTACTTTATAAATAAGCATATATAAATATATATATAAAACATAAATATATTGTAAGATACAACTTAATTAATGTTATAAACACAACAAAACACAATACTTTATTAAACTGAATAGGAACCTGATCAATACAACACAAAGAAACAACATGTTATAAAACTTAATTTATGCCTAATAAACGCGACACAAACATACACCATGTTATACGTCTCAATTTATACCTAATTAAAACAACACACAAAATATTATACAACTCAATTTATGCCTAATGAACACAACACAAACACAACATGTTATACAGCTTAATTCACACCTAATGAACACAACACACAACATATTATACAACTTAATTTATACCTAATTGAAACAACACACAAAATAGTATACAACTTAATTTATACCTAATAAACGCAACACAACACACAACATATTATACAACTTAATTTATTACTAATTAAAACAACACACAACATGGTATACAACTTATTTTATACCTAATTAAAACAACACACAACATATTATACAACTTAATGTATACCTAATTAAAACAACACACAAAATATTATACAACTTAATTTATACCTAATAAACGCAACACAAACACACAACATGTTATACAACTTAACTTATACCTAATGAACACAACACACAACATGTTATACAACTTAATTTATACCTAATAACCGCAACACAAACACACAACATGTTATACAACTTAACTTATACCTAATGAACACAACACACAACATGTTATACAACTTAATTTATACCTAATGAACACAACACACAACATATTATACAACTTAATTTATACCTTATAAACTCAACACAAACACAAAATATACTACAACTTAATTTATACCTAATAAACGCAACACAAACACACAACATGTTATATAACTTAATTTATACCTTATGAACACAACACACAACATGTTATACAACTTAATTTATACCTAATTAAAACAACACACAACATATTATACAACTTAATGTATACCTAATGAACACAACACACAACATGTTATAAAACTTAATTTATACCTAATTAAAACAACACACAACATATTATACAACTTCATGTATACCTAATTAAAACAACACATAAAATATTATACAACTTAATTTATACCTAATTAAAACAACACACAACATATTGTACAACTTAATTTATACGTAATGAACGCAACACAACACACAACATGTTATACAACTTAATTTATACCTAATGAACACAACACACAACATGTTATAAAACTTAATGTATACCTAATTAAAACAACACACAACATATTATACAACTTAATTTATACGTAATGAACGCAACACAACACACAACATGTTATACAACATAATTTATACCTAATAAACTCAACACACAAAATATTATACAACTTAATTTATACCTAATGAACACACCACACAAAATATTATACAACTTAATTTATACGTAATAAACGCAACACAACACACAACATGTTATACAACTTAATTTATACCTAATAAACTCAACACACAAAATATTATCCAACTTAATTTATACCTAATGAACACACCACACAAAATATTATACAACTTAATTTATCCCTAATTAAAACAACACATAAAATATTATACAGCTTAATTTATACGTAATAAACGCAACACAACACACAACATGTTATACGACTCAATTTATACCTAATAAACTCAACACACAAAATATTATCCAACTTAATTTATACCTAATGAACACACCACACAAAATAGTATACAACTTAATTTATACGTAATAAACGCAACACAACACACAACATGTTATTCAACTTAATTTATACCTAATAAACTCAACACACTATATATTATACAACTTAATTTATACGTAATGATCACAGCACAAACACACAACATGTTATACAACAGAATTTATACCTAATGAACACACCATACAAAATATTATACAACTTAATTTATACCTAATGAACACACCACACAAAATATTATACAGCTTAATTTATACGTAATAAACGCAACACAAACACACAACATGTTATACAACTGAATTTATACCTAATGAACACACCATACAAAATATTATACAACTTAATTTATACCTAATTAAAACAACACACAAAATATTATACAACTTACTTTATACCTAATGAACGCAACACAAACACACAACATGTTATACAACTCAATTTATACCTAATGAACACAGCACAAATACACAGCATGTTATACAACTTAATTCATACCTTATAAACGCAACACAAACACACAACATGTTATACAACTTACTTTATACCTAATGAACGCAACACAAATACACAACATGTTATACAACTTAATTTATACCTAATGAACGCAACACAAATACACAACATGTTATACAACTTAATTTATACCTTATAAACGCAACACACCACACACAATATTATTCAACTTAATTCATACCTAATTAACACATAACAAACACACATTTTATACAAAAGAATGTATACCTTATGAACGCAACACAAACACACAACTATTTATACAACTTGATTTATACCTAATAAACTCAACACAAACACACAACATGTTATACAACTCAATTTATACCTAATAAACGCAACACAAATACACAACATATTATACAACTTAATGTATACCTAATTAAAACAACACACAACATATTATACAACTTAATTTATACCTAATAAACTCAACACAAACACACAACATATTATACAACTCAATTTATACCTAATGAACGCAACACACACAATATTATACAACTTAATTCATACCTAATTAACACATAACAAACACACATTTTATACAAAAGAATGTATACCTTATGAACGCAACACAAACACACAACTATTTATACAACTTAATCTATGTACCTAAAGAACACAACAAAATCTATATTTTATTCTACTGAATCAGAAAGTAATGAATACAACACAAACACACAACAGTTGAAATGACGTCATCACTACCTCACAACACTGCACAAACACATAGCAGTCTTAACAAGGTAATCACTACCTTATCTATACTACACACACACACTGTCTATACAACGTAATCACTATCTAATGAATACAACACAAACACTGCTTTATAAACAGTACACAGACACTAAACACCTTATTCAACGCTATCACATCCTAATCTATAATATAAATGTGTAAAACAATCCGGTCTCTGATACATGTAAATTTTAAATTTAAATCTTGCGTAAGGAACATTTCATGTATAAGATATTTTCTCCTACCATAAATATATTTATACAGATAAGACCGTGGTTTATAGATACAAAATGGGTGGGTAGCTCTCTATTGTATTCTATTTTGGAACATATTGTCATCTTGGATTTGTTTTTATAAAAAGACTCATCTCAGCTTTTTGTTACAAGTCTTTACTCTATTTAAATAGATTTTATTATCGTCCGTAGTTTTTTGCATGATGCTCAAATATTTTCTTTACAGTTTCGAAAATGGCGTTCTTTTAAAATCTGTGACGACACTTGTATCTATGGCGTCAAGTTTACAGTGCCTACGGACTAACACTCAGACGCCCATGATTAGGGTAGGTATATATACGTACGTTGTAGCTAACTTTCATTTTGAAACTATATGATAGCCTATAAATTATGTTTGAGTGCCCTGGAAGGCCCACTTAGACAGTCTTGTTTACATTGACTGTCCCTTGTAACTGTAGCTAGGGGAACATTCAGGTTAACGTTATTGAGATAATTGTAAAATAATTGCGTTATTTCTGCCAACATTTCGTTTCTTTTTAAATTGATATAAATACTGTAACGTGAACAGGACAATAACTGTTATTCAAAATTTTGTTTACCAAAAAAAGGCAATAGCAAATTGTATTGGTATCAATTACCCCCAATGTACCTCGAAATGCAGCGTTCTCACGTCACGACGAAATAAGCAATTAATATCCGTGTATGTCCACCCCCACCTTTGACTTTTTCAGATTCTTCCGAAATGCTTGTGGGTAAACGTGCGAAATAGGTTTCGTTAAAAGAAAAGAATAAAAGTCCAGTACTGGAGTTGCAGAATCCAGGGAGCCTCGTCAGAATGAAAACGTTCGATCCTTTTGTCCTTTTTCTGGCAATCTCCTGTCTACATTTATTACGCGCTGTTATGGGAACTTCTTCAACTCCCGGATCAGCTGCAACAAACCATACAACTTCAACTTTAGGGACAACTGCATCAACACAATCGCAGACATCAACCTCCTCAGGAACTACAACAACAGCACCACAAACAACGTCTCCAGAAACAACTTCAACAGCAGTTACAACATCAACCCCACAGACACCTACATCAACTCCGGGGACAACTCCAACATCAACTCCGGGGACAACTCAAACATCAACTCCGGGAACAACCCCAACATCAACTCTGGGAACAACTCAAACACCAACTCCGGGGACAACTCCAACATCAACTCCGGGGACAACTCAAACATCAACTCCGGGAACAACAAGTCAAATAATCGAGTCATCGACTTCAACAACAACAGGAAATACAACAAAGACAGAGCTTCCACCGACAAGCGCACCTATGATTTCTGAAGTGGACGAGAGCACCATCGCCGTTGCTGCTGTGGTAGCCATCATTGTCTGTGTTGTTCTGGTGGTCGTGGCTGCCGTCGTGGGTAACTTTGAGGACAAATTATTGGGCTTTTCTAGAAAGAGAAAGCTGTCCATGTTTGTCAACGGTGGTGTTGGTCTGGACACGGGAGACCGGCCGTTATCTGAAGAATATACTCAGTTTTGATTGATATGTCAAAGTATATGCGAACTCTCTGACAACAACGGAAATTGGATTTATACTGGGAACACAATTATATCGACAGCAAGCACTTCCTCAAAACACAAGAAATGTGTTATTTTGTGTTGACATAACGATGACATATTTGCTGTGCAACAATTCAATAATTTCTCCTTTTCTACGGCATTCAATACAACCTAGAAAGATATCGATCCATTGTTCGATTTGTTCAATTCAACCCGATGGCTATAAAGCGTGATTAAACAAATATAAGTAACACGTTTGTTAAGTGAAAGACCACGTCCTATGGAAAGCAAAGAGTTTGCTTGCTGGTTTCTTAGTTACGCTGGATATTTAGAATTCTTCAGTTTAGTGATACAAGCAACAGGTAAATTGTTAAATAGAACAAATATAGTTAAGTACTCAAAATAATTGCAATTCAACGACAGACAGACGTGGGATTAACATTGTGTTGATATGTATAACTTGCCAACTTATTGATATATGATAAAACTATTAAATCGGTCTTGGGCCGTCATGCCGCCTCCTTGGCTCCCTATATATAGACAATCTGTTAGCCAGGATGCATGTAGTAATTCTCCATTGGACTAATACTATCACTCTCCCCTACTTGTGGTGTTACATGTAGAAATTCTCCATTGGACTAATCCTATCACTCTCCCCTACTTGTGGTGTTACATGTAGAAATTCTCCATTGGACTAATACTATCACTCTGCCCTACTTATGGTGTTACTTGTAGTAATTCTCCATTTGACTAATACTATCACTCTCCCCCCCCTATGGTGTTACATGTAGTAATTCTCCATTGGACTAATACTATCACTCTCCCCTACTTATGGTGTTACAGGTAGCCGTTCATGCTGATTTATTACTCTAGTGTGTCATTAGTTACTGAGTAGAGACGCTACTCCAAATTATTATCGAAATTATTGACAAATACACCCTGTTGATCTAAAAAATACGTAGCAATAATTAACTACCTCAAAACCTTCACCGTACAAATGAAAAATATTACCACCTTATTTAACAATCGTAAAAATGTTGTGTATACAATTATTTAGGATTTTGAAAACCAAAATACATTATATACACTTAATAAAGAACAACCCCCTCCCCCCACAAACAGACTAAGATTTAATGAAACTTGAAACTTGTATTTATACATAACTGTGTGTGTGTTTGTACGATATAAGAAATAAGTAAGTCTACCCTATTGAAGACTGAGGTGCGACGTTAACAAGTGCCATTTTAATCTACAAACTACTGTTGCTGTACAGCTCATTATACATATTTTATTCATTTCTGTTATTACATATGTAGGTTGCTGTCTAATAGAGCAGTCACGTGTATGTCATGTTTGATTTGTAATATTATCTATTTTGACGACAAAAGGAATAATATAATTGTTCGTGTCGCCTATGATTTCTCCTGTATAGGGATATTTTTTATACATTTTTGTATGTTTAATTATCATGCTTTCATCGAGCTAATGATAAAAAAATAACAATTCTTTCTTGAATCTTAATATCCCACATAGACTTTGATTGAGATTTTCTATAAATAATGAAAAAGTAGATATTTATGATACAAATTAATCAATATCCAGAGTAAAGTGTGGTTACGATATCAAGCTTTACCAAATTTGATTTATAATCAAATGTCCACGGTGTATTAGGTTGTTAGTGACCAGCTTTCTGTCCTTTAAAAGTGGTAAAGGAAGTACATACCCTTTCTAAAACACCTCCCTTCCTATATGTCTTTGGGCTCATATTATCTCTCACTTTATTGACTTTTTATATCGATTTTGACATCTGATTCCGTCCATGTGTGTTTATTCTCCTTAAAGGGAGGTTTCCTTCCTTAAAACCTTCATAATGTATTGTGTTCACATTGTATTGTGTTCACATTGTATTGTGTTCACATTGTATTGTGTTCACTTTATTACATGACAAAACACGATAGTTCTGTTAATGTTGACATGTTTAATTACTTTTTTTTAATGTTTTATATGAGTAATGGTTAAAAATAGATAATAATTACATTCAATGGTGTTTATGTCGCTGTTTAAATATTATCTGAAGTAAAACCTTGTTTAATATTATGTGTTCACGAATTTATTTCACAGATGTGATTTTGTGGGGGATTTATTCAAAGAATATGTGTCACTCAAATAGAGTTAAAAGCTTGTGTTGACTATCAAGTCACAATAGAATGTTAATGCTATAAAATAAAATATAATGCTGTCCGATAAAAGTAGACAGATTACTTTAGCATGCCACACGTAAGTACAAAATAATCGCACAAAGGATATCTCCCGCCTCTTCATATACTAAAAATAGACACACTCGCTTACCTCAGAAACTTCAACCTAACCAGGAAGTCATATTTTGTTTAAATACCAAAAACTACAACGTCATTGGTCGAGTGATTCTCCTCATACTACAACGTCCTCATACTACAACGTCATTGGCCGAGCGATTCTCCTCATACTACAGCGTTATTGGTCGAGCGATTCTCCTCATTCTACAACGTCATTGGTCGAGCGATTCGCCTCATACTACAACGTCGTTGGTCGAGCGATTCTCCTCATACGACAATGTCATTGGTCGAGTGATTCTCGTCATACTACAACGTCATTGGTCGCGCGATTCTCCTCATACTGCAACGTCAATGGTCGAGCGATTCTTCTCATACATACTACAACGTCATTGGTCGAGATACAACAACTTCATTGGTCGAGCGATTCTCCTCATTCTACAACGTCGTTGGTCGAGCGATTCTCCTCATACGACAATGTCATTGGTCGAGTGATTCTCGTCATACTACAACGTCATTGGTCGCGCGATTCTCCTCATACTGCAACGTCATTGGTCGAGTGATTCTCGTCATACTACAACGTCATTGGTCGCGCGATTCTCCTCATACTGCAACGTCAATGGTCGAGCGATTCTTCTCATACCGAGCGATTCTCTTCATACTACAACGTCATTGGTCGAGATACAACAACTTCATTGGTCGAGCGATTCTCCTAATACTACAACGTCATTGGTCGAGAGATTCTCCTCATACTACAAAGTCATTGGTCGTGTGATTCTCCTCATACTACAACGGCATTGGTCGAGCGATTCTCCTCATTCTACAACGTCGTTGGTCGAGCGATTCTCCTCATACTATAACGTCATTGGTCGAGTGATTCTCCACATACTACAACGTCATTGGTCGAGAGATTCTCCTCATACTGCAACGTCAATGGTCGAGCGATTCTTCTCATACCGAGCGATTCTCTTCATACTACAACGTCATTGGTCGAGCTATTCTCCTCATGCTACCACGTCATTGGTCGAGTGATTCTCCTCATGCTACAACGTCATTGGTCGAGCGAGTCTCCTCATACTACAACGTCGTTGGTCGAGCGACTCTCCTCATACTGCAACGTCATTGGTTCATACTACAACGTCATTGGTCGCGCGATTCTCCTCATACTGCAACGTCATTGGTTGAGCGATTCTCCTCATACTACAACTTCATTGGTCGAGCGATTCTCCTAATACTACAACGTCATTGGTCGAGCTATTCTCCTAATGCTACAACGTCATTGGTCGAGCGACTCTCCTCATACTACAACGTCGTTGGTCGAGCGACTCTCCTCATACTGCAACGTCATTGGTCGAGTGATTCTCGTCATACTACAACGTCATTGGTCGAGATACAACAACTTCATTGGTCGAGCGATTCTCCTAATACTACAACGTCAATACAAAACTACAACGTCATTGGTCGAGTGATTCTCCTCATACTACAACGTCACTGGTCGAGCGATTCTCCTCATACAACAACTTTATTGGTCGAGCTATTCTCCTCATACTACAACGTCACTGGTCGAGCGATTCTCTTCATACTACAACGTCATTGGTCGAGCGATTCTCCTCATACTACAACGTCATTGGTCGAGTGATTCTCGTCATACTACAACGTCATTGGTCGAGTGATTCTGCTCATACTACAACGTCATTGGTCGAGTTGGTCGAGCGATTCTCCTCATACTACAACGTCATACAAAACTACAACGTCATTTGTCGAGCGATTCTCTTCATACTACAACGTCATTGGTCGGATGATTCTCCTCATACTACAACGTCATTGGTCGAGTGATTCTCCTCATTCTACAATGTCATTGGTCGAGCGATTCTCCTCAAACTGCCACGTCATTGGTCGAGCGATTCTCCTCATACTACAACGTCATTGGTCGAGCGATTCCCCTCATACTGCAACGTTATTGGTCGAGCGATTCTCCTCATACTGCAACGTCATTGGTCGAGTGATTCTCCTCATACTACAACGTCATTGGTCGAGAGATTCTCCTCATACTACAACGTCATTGGTCGAGTGATTCTCCTCATACTGCAACGTCATTGGTCCAGCGATTCTCTTCATACTACGACGTCATTGGTCGAGCGATTCTCCTCATACTACAACGTCATTGGTCGAGCGATTCTCCTCATACTACAACGTCATTGGTCGAGCGATTCTCCTCATACTGCAACGTCATTGGTCGAGCGATTCTCCTCATACTACAACGGCATTGGTCGAGCTTTTCTCCTCATACTACAACGTCGTGGGTCGAGCGATTCTCCTCATACTGCAACGTCATTGGTCGAGTGATTCTCCTCATACTACAACGTCATTGGTCGTGCGATTCTCCTCATACTACAACGTCATTGGTCGAGCGATTCTCCTCGTACAACAACTTCATTGGTCGAGCGATTCTCCTCATACTGCAACGTCATACAAAACTACAACGTCATTGCTCGAACGATTCTCGTCATACTACAAAGTCATTGGTTGAGTGATTCTCCTCATACTACAACGTCATTGGTCGAGAGATTCTCCTCATACTACAAAGTCATTGGTCGTGTGATTCTCCTCATACTACAACGTCATTGGTCGAGCGATTCTCCTAATACTACAACGTCATTGGTCGAGA